CACACACACACACCGCGGCGCGCGCGTCTGGGCCTCCGGGGCTGCCCGCAGCCCTTACATGTGGGGTCCTTGCCGCAACCTCCACCCACCCCACCCCACCACTGGCCCCCGACTCCCCGTCTTCCAGGTACCGCATCGAGCAGGAGCTGGGCACGGAGATCAAGCCCATCCCGCCCCACATCGAGGAGAAGCTCTACTGCGCATGAGCGCCGACACCGCCGCCGACGCCGGCCGGCCGGCCGGCTGGCCGCGCCAAGGCGGCCCGCGGTGGCGCGGGTGGGGCTGCGAGCAGCTGACTTCCAGCGGGCTCCGGCTGTTTTTTTTCCGGGCGCACCCGCGCGGCGGCGGCGCCGCCGCCGAGGCGGGCCCCTTTGTGTTTGTTTGTTGGAGCGCGCCCAAAAGGGCCGGCGGCGGCGGCACGGGCGGGGGCGGCGCGCGCGACCCGCGCACGCCAAATCTTAAAGCCACGGGCCTGGCATGCGATGGGAATCGCGCGGCCCGAGGCGCGCGGGGCGCACGCGCGGCCCCCGCCCCCATCGCGCGCCGCCGCCGCGCCGCCTCTTGGGGGGCGGGCGCGGCGCAACTTATTTCACTTGCACGGCATGCATCGCCACAAGAACAGCTTTCCCAATCCCTTCGGCACGGCGCACCGCCGGCCTGGCGGCGGATTAGCCGCCGTGGCGGGGGAGGTGCGCCCGACGTATGCGCCTCCCCCGCCCTCACCCGCCCCGGCGGAGGCGCCGCCGCCCGCGCGCGCGGCCTGCGGCAGCACAGCCCCCCAGGGCTGGGCCCCGCGCGCCGCCTGCGCGCGCGCGTGCTCGTGCCCCCTATGGGCGCTGCCCCAACGAAACCCGGCCCCTGGCGATGGCGCGCGCGGCCGGCCGGCCGGCAGGCTTGCCGCCCGAAACGGGCCCCGCGGCCGCGCCGCCCCTGGGAGGGGCCGCTTCCCCCTCTCTGTTTTTGGGCAGCACTGACACATCCACTTTTTGACGGCGGGGCGCGCGTGGGTTTCGGGGCGGCGCTCCCCCGTTCACCAAGCGCTTCGTGGCGGGGCCTCCTCGGGTGCCGCGATAGACATGCAGCCACGAGCGGCGCCAGCGCGAGCGGCGGGCGGGATCGGCCGTGGCGTGCGTGCGCTGGGCGCCGCGGCGGGAGTGGCATAGGTAGCCATGCACTGCCCCCACGCACCCAAGTTCCGGCGCCGGCTGCTCACACCCCATCCCCACAGGCGCGTCCAGCTCGTTGCACGCACCACGCATCTGCGCCGCCGCCGCCCGCAGGCAGGCAGGCATCCGTGGGGCCCCGCCGGCCCCGCGGCTCGTGTGCCGCCTCCCGCCCCACGCGTCCCCGCCGCCGGCGGGCGTGGGCGCGCCCCCTCCTCAAACCGGCGCCCTTGCTGCGGCGCCCCCGGCCTCGTCGTTCCTGTTCGTCATGTCGGTTGCAGGGCCACTCGCACCCCGAGCCGGGGCCCCGCGGCGCGCCCGTGCCTGACAGCGTGCCCGCCCGCTTGCCCGCCCCTCCAGACCCCATTCTTTTGGCGCCACCCGCGCGTGTCGCGGTGGCTCCCGCGTCCCAACTAGCCATGTCTGTCTGCACGCCGGCGAACGCCGACCCGCCGTCTGCCGTGTCTCGGAACCGCGCCCCTCCGCCCGCCGCGGCCGGCGGGCGGGCGCGGGTTGTCTCATACCTTGTGCGGCCCCGCAGCCCGCGCCTTGCAGCCCCTAGCCCAGCTGCTGCAAGCCGCGGCAGCGCCCACCCTTGCGCCGCGGCCCCTCCCCAGGACTCGCCCGCACCGCCTTCGCGCGGCTCCCCACCTGCTGGCGCGATCACGGCCGCCCTGGCCCCCTAACCGAACCACGGGGGCCATCCTGCTGCACCCCTTGCTTCTGGCGCGGCGCCGCCCCACGCGCGCCCCCCCTGCGCCCAGGGGCGCGCGCCGCCCCGCCTTCAGGCCTCTGCCGCTCTTGCCCTCCCTCTGTCACCCCTGCCCAGCAGCCCTCCGGTTGACGGGGGGCCCGCAACAGGGCGGCGCACGACTCTGCCCTCGCTCGCCTCGCGCGGCCCCATGTTGTGCATGCGCATGCGCGCTCCCTCCGGCTCGCCCTCCGCAAATTTGGTCCCACCAAGACCTCAGGGCATGCCCGTGCGCATGCACGCACTCCCAGCGTCAGTGGCCGCGTGGGGCGGCCCTCCGACCCGCGAGTATGCAGCAGCGGCTGCCGCAGGCCCGCACCCGCTGGCGACCCGTCGCCTCCTCCTTCCTCGGCCGCGCGGGCGACCCCGCGCCAAGCGTCCCTGCCGCGCGGCGCCGCACGACTCGCAGCGGCCCCAATCAACTAGGCAGCCCCCCGCGGCGATTTTCCCGGACGGGCCTGGGCGCGGCCGCCCCCGGCCCCACCCCCGCCCTGCTTCGTACCCGCCGGCGGCCGGGTTTTACCCCCGTGCACGCACGCGCCCACGC